CTTTCTGTTTCACTCTTATGCAAGCTTTCATACATTAGTATCACAATTTTCATTCACAAGATGCATTTCTCCTCCTTACCCTGACATCTCATCCTCAATGAAGTTGTCTTCTGTTTGTAAGCAATTTGGCAAGGGAAGACACAAAGATGCCCTTCTAGAAAGGGCATACATAGGTTGCACTATATTTGGAGTTGACCACTGCATCCGAAAAATGATATTAAATTAAACAATGTGCTTCCACTTATGCAGTCTCAACATACTGATGAATGAAAAATTATGTGGAATCTACCAATCACAAAAGTATTTAAATTGTTTTGCACAAGGTAGGAAAAAATTTGCGAAGCTGCCTATCATGCAGAGGTAGTCTTTGTTTACCAACAATTGGGACTGGCAACTCTGTCACTCAGCGTTGCAGTCACTAAGTGAAAAACCATGTTACCATGCCAACTTAGAACCAAGTGAATCATTGTAGTTGTTAAGTGAGACATCTTGTGATTGTGACTTGGCAATGTCATTTCCACATTCTCCGTAAATGCTATGGTGAAAGCCAATTGTGAAACTCACAAATGAAAATCATGAGGCTGTGGGATGCTACAAGAGTCATAAATGTATGCTGGTATTGAAGCACCTGAACAGTGATCACATGGATCCTTCAATGGCTGCAGTTTTGAATGACTGCTAAACAAAACGGTTGGTAAGCAAGGACTACCTGTATTGTATGAGTTTGTATTTTAATCAACATTGCTTTAAGGAGGGAGACCCATGTAAAGAATAACTAAAGTTCAATTAACATAATAGACAAGTCCTCCAATCCAACAATGCTTATACATTTATACAACAGTGAAGAGAGAATTCTGATTTATTCAAAGGAAGAAGGTTTCCTTTACATTATTTTAAAATGTAACAGCCCTTGCCCATAGCAAGGCATCTATATGCACCTCAGAGCTCCAGTTTGGGGTGACTGTGTAAGATATAACTAAGCTCGTATATTTAAAGTGAGAGCTATGGACTTGTGTAGTTGTAGCATTGCATATGCTTGACCATGACATAGTCAATTAAGAATTATAATTAGATAAAACTCAATTAAAGAAAAAGCAAAGAGAAGGCATTGTTCCTGTAAAGGTTACTCTTTATGCAACGATAATTCCACTGATATCTTTGGGAAATTGATTGTGTAACATAAGGGTGAGGAACGTCTCCAGATTTTGCTGATCTACAGTTGCTTTGGGTGGAAGCTCAGCAATATCCAAAGGGCACCAGGTTCCTCTAGGCTTACTGTAGCTGGGTTGCAAAAGTCTGGATGACAAAATTATGGACAAAATAATTTGTTGGATGGAAACAAGGACATGCAGAAAAATGCTTGCTGCCATATAGTGGTTATTCTGATTTCAGCAGCCCAGATACGGTATGCCCATACCCTTGATACTGAGTGAAAAAAATAAGAGTAAGCAGGGCCTTTACATACATTCTTATGTATGTATATACTGTATATTGCACTGCCATACTGTATAAATGCCTAAGCCTAATGTAAGACCAACTGGGCTAGACTAAAAGTTAACAAGTCCAGCATGCTTTTCTCAGTAGACAACCAGATGCAAAATATTGCATACAGAATACAAATACCAATACTTCTTTCCCAAATGTGTCTCAACAACTAATATTCAGAGATATACTGCCTCCAACTCTAAAGGTAGTCTACAGTTGTCATGACTGGTAGTTTCTTGCAGTCTTTTCTCCATGAATCTCTCTGTTCTTTAAACTCTGCTTGAAAACTCATGAAATGAAAAAGCAAACCCAGCTAAAAAGATATTTATAGAATTTGGAAAAGGCACAACCTTCTTGCAAATGGTCAGCTGCCAAATACCTACTTTGTCCTCTTGTCAGCTCAGTGCAATCTATGGTTTATTTTATATGTAACATGCAAAAGGAGAGGGGGGTTAAAATAAGAAACCTCAAACAGAATTTACAATATTAAAAATGCACTTTCATTGTCATAAAAAAGAATGGATTTACTCTGCAAAATTTGCCATCAATACATTTACAAGTAAAAGTTAGAAGCAGAATTAAAAAATAGCTGAGATTCTCAAAAATAAAGTAGAATTTTAAAAAAGGGTTCAACAATATTTATCAATCTGTACAATAAAATTTTACATACACATACACAGATGATACATTGGCTTACTAAGGAAATTGTGAGAGGATATATCCCTGAATTTTTAGAACCAAACTATGTGTTAAAATTCAAGTTACACTTGCTATCAAGTAGTGAGAATTACTTTTTCCCAAATATTAGCCAAGCGGAAAATCAGGGGAACATGATACCTTATATATCTCCATTAAAAACCTACTGCCAAGTAAAGTTGAGGTATATGACAAGTAGGAACATCATTCAAACATAATTTGAAGATAGTTTTAGCACACTTTTTTTAGAGAACAGGCCAAGTAGCACCATGATGTGAATTCAATTCCAAATCCATATATAGATATATATATATAGATATATAATATATATTTATATATTTGTACATTATTAAAATACTAAAACATTGCTTTAAAATTGTTTACAAGTTACTATACATCTGTTTTGCTTACACTTTTATACAAACTACCAAATTAAAAACCATCACAGCAAGCCAGCTGCCTCTACTGTATTCTCCCAAGCCCAAAGCTCCTACAGTATAACCCTGTATTTCTTTGTGTTGACTCTTCTCAACATTTCTTAGAAAATACGGCCACATTACACTGAGCAGTGTCATATACCATAACATAAATAATCCATGATTATTAAATAAAGCAGTAACCATCATCTCTAGAATGCTATGGTTCCTTAAAAAGTAATTCAAAATCATATGACAAAATTGTCAAGTTTAACATGTTTTTGTCTGCGACTATATATTAAAAACTTAAAATGTATGCTATTTCAAGAAAGAGCTTCTCATCAAAATAGTTAAAATTAATATTCACAATACACCTGTGTGAGAGAAGCACCAAAAAATGAAGCTTGTATTATTTTTTTAATCCCATTTCCTCTGGTTGAACAGAGTAAGTAAAGGATCTATTCTTTCTCTGTTCTTTTAACGAGTGTTTGAGCAATGGTTTCAGTTTATTTCAGTCAGTCTAAAACTGGCTTAAAAACTTTTTCCTGCTTGCAGTTAAAAGCATCTTATATAAATTTGCTCCAAAGATCAAAAGATTTAAATAACAATAATAGTAATTTGTTGAACGCTTATAGAAGTCAAACATTTATGGAAAAAAAATCTGCTGTTATAACAATCATGATTGGAGCTCTTGGAGCCATGCCTAAAGTATTTACTGAATATTTGGAAACTTTGAATTTATTGAACCTGAATATCTTAATTTTTACAGAAAGCTGCCTTGCTGAAACTGTATGTCCTTAGGTACTATCTTAATAATTCTTGAGTTCATCATTAAGTCTTGAATTAATTTTTCACCAATCTTAGACTACGATTCTAACTGCAGATTACTCTTAATAATCATCACAATAATAAGTTATTAAATGTATATGTTACCTGATTCCCAGTGATACTGGGTAATACATGAATTTAATATGTATATCCTAAATACATTTCTTCAAATAAGTTTCTTTTAATGTTACAGTAAATGTTTGGGAAGTTTTAGCACCCAGATTAATGTTCATCAGTGGCAGCCCAACGAGTTCTTCAAGTACCATTCACAAAATATTTTTCTATTGTTTGCTGCTCTTAATCAGATCTTTGCCAAATGAATGAATTCTAGTGAGATCCAACAAAGCTTATTTCGCTTGGAGAAGTAGCAGAATGAGAATTCAGGCCTGTGGCATGAAAGCCTTATTTGCATTTTCTTGATAATCAAGATAAAATTGTTATCTTCAATAGCTTTATGCAAACAAAAGAAGACCAGTTTCTTTTCTGATTTACAATTCTGTGGGGTATTAAGTTACCTGGAAAATATTTCTCAAAAGCTGCCTTTACTGCTTTTGTTGTTCTAGCTGCCACTGGCACAGTGGCATATTCCGCCTGCAGTACTCATATGATAGCTTTGTTGGCTCTTGCCCTTGTTTCATCCAGATTTCCATGCTTTAAAACAAGTGTGTCCAACTCGTGGCTGGACAGCTAGTAATGTGTCTCCACAGGATAGTAAACGTTTAACGTTATGTGATTTATACACAATAACTATATTATATATTTTATATGCAGCTGAAACCAATTCCTTTTCACTTGATGCGACCCAGGCAAGCCAAAAGGTTGGACACCCATGCTTAAACAATGAGTTGTAGCTGATTTTTTTTTTTAAAAAAAATTCAGATTAACTCGATGTCAACACAAATGTAAAGGCTTTGTTTACAGATTAAGGAGAGCAGGATATGTTTTTATCTTATCTAGTGCTAATAAAAGACATTAAAACTTATCTAAATTTTGCAGTAGACACCATTGTTGTATACAGCACCACGTTTTAGAATAGCCAAAACAAATTCAGTGCTTTTGTTATAAGTGTAGCTATCCTGATTATTATCAATTTATATTAAAATTATAGCCAAAACAAAGCCAAACAAAAACAAACAAACAAAATATTCTGTGCTAAAAAGCTACATTTCCAGTAACCAGTTCAGTATACCATTAGTTGAGCACCGAGCAGAATCTTAAATGTTCTGCAGAAGAAAGACTACAGAGTTTTCACTACTAAAAACAAAAACACTCCCTTGCTTAATCTGCTCTTGAGAAAAATGGTTATAGATGTACAATTTTAAAATTATGGTCATTCTATTTACCAGTAGTAATAGCAGTATTTCAGTCCTAACTGGTTATGTCTTCTTAATTTTGCATAGGATACTTTGGTTTTAATTTCAGATTGTTACTTGTGACAACTCTCCAAATGTATGCAGTGGTAAAATTACTTATTTTACTGGGATGGAGAAGATTTCCTCAATGACAAGTGAAAAAGAAAAATACTGTATCTTGCTCTGATCCTATCTAATATAAGAGGATTTTTTTAAAAAAGGATGAGGTAATAAACAAAGATGTGACTTTTATATATATCTGTTATAAGGCCCTGTAACCCGTGTAAAGGCATATGGAGATGTGGTTACTGTGGAATTTGTGGTAAGAGACATCGTCCTTTGTGCAAGGGACCTGATAAATCTAAAATAGGTTGGTTCCAGGTTCTCGTTTAATTCAGCAGGCTCCCGTTTTACTTTTTTGCCATGTACTTTCTGAGGCACATAATCTGGACCATACTTTTCACAGTCTTCTTCTTTTTCTCTTGCCTTCTCAGCCATTTTTGCCTCCCACAAAGCCAGACCATGCTTTGGCTCATTCATACTTTTGTGTTGATAGAAGACAAGTGATATCCTTGTAGGGTGATTCCTGTTAGGATTTTTCAATGGGGTTGTAGCGTGGAGTTCACGTTTAGCACACTCTATGAGGATTGATCCATGGGATGGGGCCACTGCAACACCACCTATTTCTGGATCCAGAAAACTTTGCTCATTGTCTGACCAGACATCATCAGGATCCTCTGCATTGAGCACCTCTGTTTTATTTGCACCTACTTCAGAAGCAGTTCTGTTATGGTTAAAATCTGGAAAGAGATTTGACAACCCATTAGCTGCCTGACTATTCTTATTCTGGAGATGGAGTGAATGAGAAGAGCCATTGAACATGCTATGATAGTCATGGGTAAGGTGTGGTGGGGGATACAGATGATCACCATTTTTATTCATAAAATCCACACCTGGATTTAGATTAGGTTTCAGCCTGGAGGTGATGTCCATAAAAGGATTATCAGTCTCATGCTGGGAGTAAGATGGGAAAGAACCTGCATGATGAACATTTGGTCTAAAGGCGCATTTGTTAAAATCTACTGGCACATTTTGGTTTCCATAATTCAAGTACCTGTGCCCAAAGTTCTGATTATTTCCAATCCTATGCTGATACAATGTATGTATTGGAGGTAGACTTAGTTTAGACAGAGAATCTTGGCTCTGATACCTAAACAAGTCCATATGCTGAGTCTGAGCAGAATAGGAATTGTAATAAGAACAATTGTCTATTGATAAGCTTCCATTGCATGGATAATGAGGATACTGGTTATTTTGACCTAAATGAATAGAATAGGGATTTATGAGGCTGGAAGAATTCAAATAAGTTCCTGTAGGTTGTGATGAAGTCTGGTAGATATTCATTGGATTGGATCCTCCATAAGGATTGGAAGGATGTGTACAGTTTGAATATGAATTAGCTGGATTAGACAGACTCATATAGAGATTGGTAGGATCAGAAGCAGAGTATAAATTGCCATGGTTTGACTGATGTTTAGAAGGGAAAGCCTGGCATGGATGCTGGTAAAGTTGCTGTTGTGGCACAGCTGGTCCTGAAAGATGCAAAAGATCTGTGTACAAGGAAGAGAAGGAAAGAACTTTAAGGTTGGAAAAAATATTTGTCATTTGTATAGAATTAATTCAATTATGGAAAGATGTTGCCCATTCTACTTTTCAAGGAAGATGTTTATGCAATTGAATTATGCCACAAATATGAGATATGGGAAATTAGATCACATATGAATGTTATGGGCATTTTTCCTCTCTGAAATTAAAATAGCCTTGATGAATCAGGCCAAGGCCCAAATGTTGCCACCATTTTGTTTCCCAGATATCTTATGAGGACTTGGAAGCAGGTGTGAAAACTAACACAGGTACTTGTCTGAAACAAGTATTCAAAGCCCTTTATCTAGAGCAGGGCTTTTCAACCTTTTTAGAGATTGTACCACTTTTAGGATATGGCAATATTCGAGTACCACCAGTCGCCTAGCAGGTGGGCATGGCCAGCTCAATGCCACTCACTGGACACAGCTGACTCAAGACAGAATAAGTCTCACCGGCTAACTCGATATGGGGACAATTCGGTGCCCCACAAATGCCTCGCCTCCCCAAACTGTTAGCAGCCAAGCACATGCACGCAGGCAAACATAAGCACATACACCACATTCCAGGTTTGGGGACTTTTATTCACAGAGGAAGAAGAGGGCCTTCTCCTCAAGCCCAGGCATGATTGGCAATTTGCTAGCTCAGATGTGGATACAAGTCTCCAAGCTTGGAATGTGTGTGTGTGTGTATGTGTGGATAGCATACTAAAGAGATGTTCTTTTCCCAATCCCAGACATTGTTGGTGTTTCCCTGTCCGGTGCCCCCTCCCGGCAAAGCAGGAGGTGGAGAACGTTTACAGGAAGCAGTTTCCTCCAAGAGTCCAACTTCTGTCTTGACAGATCTCTGGAGAGCAAGAGGAGGCAGCAGGGGAGAAGCACTCCCAGGTCCTACACAAGGGGGGCTGGCCCTTCTCGAAAGGGAATTCCCATTTCCAATCATGCATGGTAAAGATGCTGGCTTGTTGGGGCAGCCTTCCCTCACACAGTTCCCCTGCCACCAACTCCTTTAAGCTTCCGAAGGTACCAATATTAGATCTGAAGCACCTTTGTATATTTTGTTCCAAGTATTGAACACTTCTACTTTTATCTTTAAAAGGCATCCAGGGATCAGTCATCACTATACCTAATGAATTCTGAATGGTCAACTGTACTAAAAAGCATTTCTTTTGTTTCTTGTAAACCCTGTGCCAATCAGCTATATTAGATGAGCCCTACCCCTAGTGCTTTGTGAAAGATAAAAAAAACCAAAATAAAAAACCTCCTTTTCTACTTTTTCTGTGCCATATATAATTTACACACATTGACACGTCTCCTTTCAATAACATTTTCTCCCAACAAAAGGCTTTCAAATATTCTAGTCTTTTCTCATAAAAAGGTTCTTTGAGCAACTTGATGGTATTGATTGCTTGCTCTTTTCTACGTTTCCCCCCAAATATTACATACTTTTTCAGTTATGAGTCAGAAATGTGTGTAAAGGTGCTATGATGTTGGTTGCCAGTTTTATCTTCAGTCCTTTTATGATAATCCCCAGCATAGATTTGTTTTTCAAAGCTGCTACATTTTATGACAATGTTTTTATTCAGCTATCAACAGTGATCCCAAAATCATTTTTCTTGGTTAGTTGGGACCCCATCAATATGTATGTTAAGTAGGGTTTTTGTCACAGTGTGATCCTGTCTCATAACTCTCATGTCCATAGTACAAATAGCCCATATGGTACATGTGACAGAGCTGAAATCATAGCTAATGCCTACTAAAAACATACCTGCTAATTGCTTGCCATGAGTTGGCACTTCTGCATTGAACTGCTTTTGACGTGCTGAGGCTGATTTTTCTCTCTCGTGTTTGTTAGGCCCATTCTCCATGGAGGCCAGCTTCTCTGTTGCTGCTTTCTTGGCTTCCAACTTTTTTTGCCGACAGGTTTTCACAGGTTCAGCCAGCATCCTTACTTTCCGTCGAAAAGAACTAAGAACCTGGATGCTACCATTTCGCTTTTTTTCTTCCTGACCTTCTGTGCTTCCAAACTCATCTACACTAGATATTTTATACAAGGGTAGCACATGCAATTGTTCATCTTCTGGTGTTTCGCCAATTTCACGATTGTCTTCTCTGGTTAGTGTGCAGACCTGTTAAAATAATATGATGGAAGACACATTTCGACTGACAAATGAGGTTAAACTTGGCCTACAAACAAATTTGACCATGACCACATAGTGCTATTTGACCACATAGTGCTATTTTTGACAACATAGTGCTATTTTTTTTCCTGGGAAGCAGCTTGTCAAGCTAAATTAAACATGAATTTTTTTAACCACAAATATTCTATTTTTCAATAGTTCCCATTTCCTCAGGGGTCAGTAACCCATTAAAAACAAAAAAAAAACTTTAAAAATCTAACAATTTAAAATAATGTAGACCATGCAAGAATGTTTTGTGGGATTTGCTCTCTAGAAAATTCCATCATTTTTATTACTTTTTTCCTTTAAAAACCCCCAAAACATTTAGAGGTCAGCGAGCGCCACCTAGGGGCACTCTGGGCTCCATTTTGTCAACATCTTTTTTCCTGTATTCACTACTATTTGTGCATTATATAAGTTTGTACAAAATAAAGTCTTTGGCATCTTTTTCATGTTAGGAGCACCTAATATTCCTGAGAAATAAAAGTTCCAGTGATGAAATTCATGAACTGATGACACAGCTTTGGGAAAATATTAGTGAGTAAATCCACAAGGAATGGCTGAATAAAAGAGAAATTAAGGATTCTGGAATAGTCAAGCCAAAGCCCAGATCTAAATCCCATTAATATCTGTGAGGTGATTTGAAATGGGATATTCATGCAAGAAGTCCCTCAAATATTGCACAATGGAAAAAATTCTGCATGGAGGAACTGCAACTTGTATTGTTTCTTCCAAATATCAGGTATTAGAACCAACTTTGTTTTTCTACAGAAGTAAATGGCATCTTTTTGCTGAATAAATAATTGCAAATAATAAATTAAATAAATAATAAAGTCAATTTTTCATATGTTTTTGTTCAGTTTGCATCACCTTTGTTTTTATATGCTGCTTGAATGAACATAAAATATTGATATGTCCATATATGTTAAAATTGGGGGAAAAAAGGAATTTTACATGAGGTGTACACCTTCATATACACATTCACATCAGCATACAAGTTGCTAATCATTGCTGAAGAGGGTATGGTCTTTTGTGTTTAATCCTATTAAACGCTAAGCTGGCAGTTCTGTTAATACAGAACAAAAGTTAGAATATGTCAATCAGTGAGGGAATGATTGGCTGCAAGATTTCAAATTTGTTGACCAATCCAGAAGTAGCACTTTGGGAATATACCTATCAACCAATCTTCATTGGCACTCATGCTCAAGAGATCAGTACTGTATTTCTTTTAGGTTTGCCTTGGGAAATGGCTAATTTAACCTTAGCCAGCCCACCTAAGAGAAGGAACTGAAAACAAAGCTGAAAGAAGGAAATGGCAAACCATTCCTATATGGCTTCCGAGAAAAATATATGGAGAAATTTAGATACCAGATAATAAAATTGCCAGGTCAGAAGAATTCCTTAATGGGAAGAATGAAGTTTCATGAGTAGGCCTAGAAATGACAACATGGCCATACCAAGGAAGTCTGTTTATTTCAAGTGCTGGTACTGAGTTCCTCTTTTTAGAATGACACATACAACTGGAACATATCAGCAAAAAAAGTATTAACTGAGGAAATCTTGCAGAATTGCCTGGGGAAATTAAGCATATCAAATTGGATATTTTAGAAATGTGAACTTGTGGATCAGAATGGGTCTTATTAATTCTTAATTAAATGTGTGTTTACTACAATGATAGAAGACACTAAAATTCTGTATCAAATACAAAATGTATTAAATGTTGATACAATGCATACTGTACAATAAGATGCTGGTTTATAAAGTAGTCTCTACATGACAGAGATTATAGTTTGCATGTAATGGAATAAACAAGCTTGGCCTACAATAGGGCTTCAGCTGTGCTAATGGCATATTGGCTCAAACTGATTGATTATGTTCATTACCATTAGTAGAGAATACTGTACAAGAAATAGATATGACTAAAATAACCTTGACTATACATTCTCCATTTAACTAAAAATGTTATGTGAAAGCTTTAATTAAAGATCAAATGGCAGTGGAGATCAGCATATATGATCCCAACAAATAATAACTATTGCATAGACATACTGTATGTCTATAAAACTGAGAGAAAGGGGGAAGGATGTAATTGATCTGAAAGTTTGATTTTGTGGATCAAAGTTGATATATGCTGAGAAATGAAGCTATAGGCTTAATTAGGAATGAAAGCAAAAATTTGTGTCAAAATGTAATTCATCTAGATTGTTGTATATATGAAAATATGAATCTATAGGCTGGTGACAATAAATGATAATAGTAGAAGAATCAAATAGTAGAAGAAAAAAACATGCAACATTCTAGATAAATAGAATCCAGAGGAAATAAATGGATACTACAAGATAAAAAAGTGTAGAAAAAATTAGGGTTATTCAGGGACTCAAAAATAAAAAAAATACTGTCTATTTGGTAGTATGAGCTTTCAAAAAGATCAGTTTGTTTCATAAGTGTGACCAGCACATGTCTATGATGTGATTGCTTATGATAAAAAATTGAGAGAGAGAAGGATATAAAACTGATAAGAGGTTCTAAATGTGGGATGAACCATATTTTAACAATATCAAGAATAGATCATGGGTCAAATGGGCATGGAAGAAAAAAAAGACATGAAACTAAAGTGAAAATAGAATGACTTTAGGAAAAGAAAGTATGTTATACACTTAATAGATCAGAAGAATGGAATGGAATGGAATGGAATGGAATGGAATGGAATGGAATGGAATGGAATAGAATAGAATAGAATAGAATAGAATAGGAAAATATGTATATAAGAAAATGATTGCTGCATAAAATGAGGACAAAAGAAAAATGCTGAATAATATAGAAAAAAAGATAGAGAAGAATAAAAATTGGTGATAAAAAATGAACTACTTGAGACATACAGATGATAGCACTTTGTCAGCCCAAAAAGAAAGATGCAGAAGAGTCCATTATGAAAGTAAAAGTAGAAAGCGAAATATCTGAATTAATGTTAAATATTAGAAAAGTAAAAATAATGTTAATCAGAATGAACTTATAGTTGATGTGAAAAAGCGAAGATGGTAGATAAATTTTTGTTTTGTTTTGTTTTTTTGGGTTCAAGAATACATATAGATGTATAGTGTAGTGAAGAAGTAAAGAGCATATTAATCCTAGGGAGGAAGACAATGACAAGGTTATGAAGGATAAGGCTGTTTGTATGACAAAAAAGATCAGAATAGCTAAAGGGGTGGTCTAATACACGGGTGTCAAACTCACCACGTCACGTGACGTGTTGCGATGTATTGCGACTTTTTTTGCATTGCCGGAACTGGGGTGGGCGCAGCCTCCGCATGATGCAACCGGCCTGTGGGCCGGCAGTTTGACACCCTTGGTCTAATATAATGTATGACTCTGAAAGGTGAACAGTAAGAAACAGTAAGAAAAATCCTTTGGATTATGGATTTGGAGTACTTACTAAGAATACAATAGATTGTAAAAAGAATAAATCAACTCTTGAGAAAATATATCCTGATTGCTCTCTTGAGGCAATCATCAGCAAACAGAAAGTCATAAATGCTAGGCATGAGATGTAAAGAGATGATGAATTAGCAAAAAAGGACCATGTGTGGCAAAGTTGAGGTGAAAATGGGAAGGAAAGACAACAGATAAAACAGATTATTTTTTTCTTCTGTCCAAACAAGTATCTCGGAGGTTGCCTGGATAAGTTCCTGCAGTTTTCTTGACAAGATTTTTTAGAAGTGGTTTGCCATTGCCTCCTTCTAAGATGAAAGTGCCTAAGATCACCGACCTGGCTTTGTACCTAAGATGAAACTAGAACTCACACTTGCCCAGTTTCTAGTCTGATGCCTTAACTGCTACATCAGGCTGGATCTCCAAAGGGATATATGAGAGATGGGATGAACACATGACTGTAGAGGACATGTTCTTGATGAGCACATGGAACTTCTTTCAAAGGACTTCAATCTTGTAAGTTTGAAAAAAATGCCCTAACTTTACAGCAAAATTTCTGTGCATACACTGAGGCTTACATTTCTAAAACAGATTCTGCATTCACAGGCCAATTAAAACTATATATTTTAAAGTTTCCAAGAATTACTTTATTTCACTGTACTAAAAAAAAGAACTAGACAAATAGAAGCAAGGAATTTACGAATCAACCTTGAGAATCTCATTTTTTAAAAACTAAAAGCCTAGAGGATTTGCATTCTTACTGATGCAATATTTCACATATTTCCTTGGTAGACATCATGTGCCAGCTTAATATAAATATAAATTATGAAAAATAATGAACTTAATGCAATAAATTAGTTTTGCACAATAATGGCTTGTTGAATCACTGACTTACCAATGTACTACCATTCTGCATATTGTGTAGGTCTCTATGAGAATGAGCACAAAAATCCAGGCAGGCAGTGACCCCTGAGAATGGACGACCTTCTTTTAAACCCAGACGACATTCAGGAGCTCTGTGTTCATATTCAATCTAGACAAAGACATATTTATATTATTTAATTCACCAACATTTTAAAACTGCATGTTACCAAATAGCTCTTAGAAATAGACTTTTTAAGCTCTGAAGTTGCAGCACTGCAGGGCTATATCCAAGGTGGGAATGATACTGTAGTTTGAAATTAGCACTGCTCATTGGTCTAAAATTATTAGGAGAGGATGATAGGCTGTAGTACACTTCTTAATTTCATCTATTAATTTTCTCTCCCTTTCATAATGACAGATACTTCTCATCAGCAGTGGTCATATACACATTCCCCAAAAATCATAAAATGAGTTATTGGCAGGAATTCCTCTTTTTGTTCTCAGCATTTTATAATAAAAAAAAAATTCCCATTGCAAACAGGGAATTTGGGGAATTCCAGTTTCAACATATTTGCAAGAGTCAGAAATTAACTGTGGACACAAACAATATATTTAATTTGTGGCCTTACCTATACCGTATATTCCTGAAAGACCCAATTTGAAGTACCCTCAGCAACAGAAGCAGAGAAATATGCATATTTCCTCCATTCCTAACCACAGTGGTGCCAAAATGATTAAATATTGGTATATTATTAAGGAGAAGAGCTTGGACTATAATGTGGTGATGCATATTCTGTTTCTTGCCCTTCCCCCCTTGCAGAAGTCTCCGTTTCAAATTCTCCCTTCGGATCAGAACTGGAAGGTCTTCACACTTTGATTATTATACACCAAGGAAGACCAATCTAATGTTCCTTTCTTTCTAATACAGTTCCAATTATAGCAAACCAATCATGCAGTGTTAATTTGATACTAGGTGCTAAATCATAGAAACATAGGGTTGCATGTATGGATATTTCCAATTTTAACATCCTGGGCTTATACATCAGCTAGGACAATAATTTACTTAGTTTTGGTATAAGCCCAGTCCTTGTGACTTGAAAATAATGTTTTTATTATATGCACACCATGCAACTGTGCTGCTTTAACAAGCCATGGTTCATCAGTGTGAATTCCATCATAAAAGGTGAAAAGAAACATATTTTTTCTCTGACATAATAGTACATTTTCAGAGACACCATAGTAGCCAGAAACAAAACCAATTAATTTTTGTTGATTTCTAATTCTTTCATATTAATGTCAAATAATAAATATGTAGCCTCATAAATAAATTCTACTTTCTAAGTGCAGTTGTTTCTTTCAAAGCCTTGGGAGACTTATACATTGGCAAAATAAAGTGATGAATCTTAGTATTGTTGCCAAACATTTCTGGTTTTTTTTACTCACCTGGTTGCTATATGCATCAGGTGCTAGTTTCTTGTAAGTGGGTGCCATCAAAGTTGACAAAGTTTGCAGATTGGATTCTAGCTTTTCTTCCTATTTTTTTTTAAAAAAAACTTCACTCATTAACAGGTAATAGCTTTAATTCCGAAAACACTTATGGTTATTTCATTCAATGTATTGTGATTCAACAGATCATAAAACTATTTCCCAAGAAGAAAATGATAGTCATTTTCAAACATCTGAAGGTCTTTGGTGTAAATAAGGGTTTTTCTGCTGTTGTTCTAAAAAGCAATAGAATCAGTGAACAGAAACTGCAGGAAAGTAGATTTTGGCTTAAAATTAGAAGAAATATTCAGCAATATGACATATTGGCTTAGGAAATAATGTAATATCCACTAGTGGTATTTAAGCAAGGTGTGAATCGGCATCTGTTAGGAATGAAAAATTGAAAATACCTGCATTGAAAGAGAGTTTGAATATGTTTATTTGAACTCTAAATAATATGATTCCATATTAAACCAAACTGATCCAACCAATTTATTGTTTCAGTTCTTGGAATTCTTTATATAGAAGAGCAATGTTTAAAACTTACAAATTAAAACAACAAAAAACACAGAGTTGAAGCCTAATACCCAGACTAAATAAAACAAAAATGGACTGTTGACATTGCCAGTCTTTTTGTACAGAATCTCATCATTATAACTGATGTCTTTCTCTTTCTCTCTCTGTCTCTGTCTCTCTATCAGGCTGACAGGAAAAAGAATTGAAGGACAACCCTACCTCTTTTGGATCATCGCCTAATAGTTTAAACTTTCTTGGGATCTTGCTTCTGGCAAATTTGCAACCATTATAGTACATACTCCATGAACAACCAAAAGAAAAAGAAGCACCACAAGATTCAGGATCTAGACCTTGGCACGCACAGGTTCGTCTAAGGAAAAAAATATATAGAAGGGTTATCAGTGTACTGCCAATATACCATAGCTATTTTAAAGCAGTTTCTTTATCAGCTTTTGATTACTGTTGAAATGTAGATGTTTAAAATTAAATAAGAGCCAGTGTAGTATAGTAATGAACAGGCTGTGCTAGGCATGCTGAGGCACAGATTCACCTCCACCTCAGTCATGGAAGCTATCTGGGTAACTCTGCACCAGTCATTCTTTTTGCCAAATGTATGTACAGTGTTATTGTTGTGGGGAAAATGGAAGGAGAGAGCACTATCAATGCCTGAAGTAAAAGCAGGATATACTTCTAAATCAGAAGCGGGGAGCTATGGCCCCTTGTGGACTT